ACCCGTTTACCGCTTTTGTACACACATGATGCTCTTGTGAATATGTTCGGATTATAACAGCTTTTGTAGTCAGTAATATTCGGTTACATTTGTCATTCGACAAATGTAATGATCACTATCAATATATTCATAGTGTCAATTCCGTTAAAAGTAACCACCTACGGTAGCGTAAAGCATGACAGTTGTGCACAGCATATAGCAGCTTGTGCTGACGATATCTTGTGGCATTGGCTTATAGTAGTTAAATGTCAACAAAAATTTCAGCAGGATGGTTATGATGCAATTTTCAATATAGAAACCCAGTTCTGGGAAAATAATGCATGTTGCAGGAATGATTAAGTAGGTTGCAATGGCACAAGTGAACGTATCCGGCCATGAAATTTAATGGGGTCTGATACAGTTCACCCTTTTGTCCGCGTTAATTCCGCCATTTGAAGTTCACCACTATAGCACGTTGTGTCATCCATTCGTCTTTTGGTTAGTGATGATGTGGAGGAACAAATTATGTACGCCGGGACGGAGTTCTAGGGCCGTGACACAAGCGGTGGGAAAATGTTTTCGATATCCTAGTTAACTGCAATGCGTGTCCAAGTTAAGCTCATGGCCCAGTTCTTTTGTTGAATCAATTCTGCTGCGTGCAAATAGACCCGTTTTGATCAGTCTTGATAAGTGCCCTTCATTCGGTGACTTTTGCACAGTTTGAGTCTGAGCGTTGACACTCACTCATGCCTTCGCCTGTTTGGACTCAGTGAATCATTACTATGAAGCATTCCCTTCGTACTGCCTACTGCTTATCGGTCTTTTTGCTTTAAACCGCAGCTGAACGTAACTTTGTCCGACTGGCGGTATGACTGTTACGGCTCCGTTGACTGACCCTTCATTTTTGTGTACATTGTTGCACAGTTGCATTTTGATAATAGATATGCTGTGCATTTTGCTCCGGACATTGTTGAGATCAGCATTTAGACAGTTGCTCTAACCTTGTTAAGGCATTCATCCCAGTAATTCACACCCTACATAGCAGAGCCTAGTTCGGGAAAGCACCAGACACGTTTCGCCCTAATGGGGCTCGTCAGTGGTGCGCATTCCCTCGGTCCCTTACTGGGGATCAAAACCATGACCGCTAGAGGCAGATGCTAACTAGCCAGCAGCTTAAGCCACTGAGCCATGGAGACGTTGGCTGGGCTACATAATTGGCAAGCTTACTGGGATATAGCACCACCTATCTTCTACTGTCACTGATAGTGGCTAGCGTGCGAGGTGGGGAGCTTGTTAACTACTGAGATGAATGCCTTAAAAAAGTTACAAATGAAATCCTGCTACTTGCGCGTTGCTCTAACCGTTTGTACAATAACTCCGTAGCTCATTTCTGCCCTACAACTTGTGTGTTAACCCAGGAATTCTACGACTCGTTCAAAGATAAGGCCGAATGGTTAGTAACAGCCCGCCTGTTTGCAAGTTCCATTAGTTGACGTAACTGGAGGTATCTGGAAGAATAGAATGATGTGAAGTTAAAAAATTAAAAAAGTAAAGTCAGTTCAAGGCGAAATGGGACACTTCATCGCAAGGAGTGTATCTATACGACTCGCAATGATACTCGGAGCGAGTTCCGCCAAAAAACACAACTCTCGACATAAACATTCCTCATCAAACCGTACTTCTTCAGGCAGCAATTTGGAATAAGTTACGTGGTAAAAATGAAGATAATGAGTAACATCTTGACTGTAAATGGGTGTGACAAAGATATTTCCGGTAAGAAAAAACTGTAGTAAGTACGCTGGGTTGATAAAGGTAAATAATTTATGCTATTTTGACGACCTGTAGTACAGAGATTTAAACAGCTATCAATTGTCCGTTACTACAATTAGTGAAGTGCGATTAAAGTAAATCTGTCTTGATTTTGCTAGTTATTATCTTAATTAGTACACCTTAAATGCCATCTAGCTCTTTCCAATAGGCCGTTTTATCGACAAAATGGATCCATGACAGGATTAATCTTAAGAGCACTTCTGTAACAATCGCCGGTACAACCCTTGAAAAGACAGGTAATTTGTTTATGTTGCCCTGAGGCCTATTCTAATAGAAATAACCTTTTTCAGCACATTCTTATAAGCTATTCTAAAATTCCAAATTCACAACTTAGATTAATCTGGACACTTGTTTCTTGAAGACCTCGGTCCTTAAAGGAACATGCTGTTAGAACTCATACAACTTACAAAGGTGAAGATTACTTACTAATCACAGGTACTTTTGTAAGCAAGCTAAACTAAGGGCTTCCGAGTTTCCTGCTTCCGGCATTGCAAAGCACGTCACTACGTATTCGTTTAAACTTGCCAAGCAGCGATTGTCGGATCTGGGATTGTTTCATAGATCCCAGGGTTGGGAATGACCGCGCTCCGCTTCAAGGGGGACCAAGGCCCTTAGCAAGAGTACCTGTCCCACTCCAACCAACTTTGAATCCCTGACCGCTCTGACCAGCGTTGCTTATGGATCTTAGTGAGCTGATGGCTAAGGCGTTAATCTTTAACCATTAGGCGCCGAGTTACACGCCCAAGCTCAGTCTATCTCTAACCGATGTGTCTAAACGAATGTAAACGGGACGTGGGATGCAGCGCTGAGAGCTAAGGACGACGAAACACTGTAATTTGGATGAAATCGTTATGATCGTAATGCACGGGATTTAGACCACTGCGGACCGAGACGGTAAGCCACTTTTTGTGTCATGATACAGCCACACGGTTGATGCGCCAGTGCCTAATTTTGGAGGTGCACGTTGAGCTACTTGTTATTAGTGTAAAAAAATGCAAAGGCTCAGTTCCAAAATTTCACTTCCTTGGGACAACAGCCTTTTTTTACTTCCGTCTGGTCTGCTTACATTAGCTGTAATGCACCGTAGCATCTTTGGCAGCTACTCTAACCTGCTAGAGGAACGAAAGGACTAATGAAAACACGGGAGTACACAGGAATATGAATGTTGCTATGATTTAAATCGGATAGAGCCAAGTGCTTTGGATATACATTTAATTAACCTAACATTTATTGGTAGAACATCCATACAATGCAACAAAGACGGTCAGAGATCAGTTGGAAATATTGTGGTATTTGTGCATCATGTTTGGCGACTTGTAGGCAAATGAGTGGAATGAAATTGAATGTATTTGGGAACTATATTATCAAAATGGTTGGAAGATTGTATTGAGAAAAGCGAAGCCAGAACCCTTTCTTGCATTTTCTAAATTAACAACGTGGAGTTTAACATACACCTCCTAAATTGGGCACTGGAGCAACAACCATGTGACTGTATGGGGATACGCAAAGTGACGCGCCACCTCGGTCCACAATGGTCTAAATCTCGCATAAAACGACCCTTCGTTCCTTTAAAACAGATTATTGGATGGCTACAAAGTCTTCGTCTCGATTCTCGGATGGCTATCTTAACACGGTCTATTGAACCCAGAGTTCGTTTAGCCTACTGTGATCTTTATTTTGCTTTATCTTCGTGTGCTTTTGTACGGTAAGTTGCAGCTGCTGATGGTACCAATACTCACTATTAAGTGCATGTCCGCAACAAACCTATGATCGTGGGCAATTTTGTGGGTCATATCCTGACACCGTCTTGCAGCTGCACTTGTAAATTTGTCAGTTGCACATTTTGGTTAAGCTCTCTGTTCTACGAAGTTGATCGCGCCGTTAGGAAACCATATACTATTTCAATGCCTCCGACTTGATTAATAGACGCATCCTGGTGCATTCTTCGTAGTGCAATGCAGGCTGTTCCATTCAAAATTCGTATTGCGCACCATTTTTCCGAACCATCCGACATATGAACTTATAACCGTTTTGGGTACACAGTGCAAATCCATCAAATAAACCGTTACTATAATAGCTTGTGTCACATGACTGATTTGATGCGAAGAGCTATGTGTTTCCGGATGTGCGACTAACCCAGTGTCAGACTGCTACCTTGAGACAAAAATTAATAGTAAAATACTGACCTGCGAACCTCGGCCAAATTTAAGAACTTTATGTACGCCGATTATTCTTGCCCGATGGTTTTTTATTATGAAGCATCCTACAGATCCGTCTTGAGGTGTCTGCTATCTTTTTGACACTTTAGGCAGAACAGATGACGCTTTTCTGTGAGTTCGGTTCTATGAGTGCGATCGTGCAGCTTACAGTGACAACGTGCAAATCAGACTGACCCACTAATGAGTGCAATATACTTAGAACCATACAATACGTTCCGCGCCTAAGAGAACCCACTGCATTTTTGATGGAAACCGTTGGTGACGGGGTAATTCGGACGACTGAATAAGTATCCCTAAATTTCGATCTACTTGTACCGGCCCCAAGACACCAACTGAGTCAGAGGGCACGATTCGCATGCAGGTAATGACACTACGCTGCCATACCGTTAGGAAGCATGCTATTACCATATTATATCACCGCCATATTGTCAACAATTTTTAACTAAGCAGGTCTCACTTAAGTGTTTGGGGATGCTACCGTCGTTATTCCGAAGTCACTATGAACGTTTGCCACCCTTGAGTTTAAATTGGGAGATCCGGTGTTAGTTTAGTACAAATTTGCGTTATCTTACTAGGGCAAAAAGCAGTTGTTGAACATTTTGACACTAATAGACAAGTTGTATTTGCATCTGGTAAATTAGACAGCTTTCTCAGCAAACCTCCAGTACATCAATGCGACACAAGATATGTCACACGAGGCTACGGAAGTTTGCCTAAATGAAAACAAGTACGTATACTCCTAGATCAACTCACAACTAAGCTATTCTGCTTTCTTTCTACCAACTGGATGTTAGTGATGCCTCTGCTCTTTAAATAGTTGAGGAGATCCTGTATTATCGCTAGTTTTGCCGAAATAGTTTGCGGTAAGTGGGGAGATTACCGATTGACCAGAGCTTTTATTTTACATATCTGCCTAGTTTTAATACGACTCTTACCTTCCGGCTCTTTTCTGCATTGCGAATCTTTACACAGAATGCAGCTCGAGCGACCGCATGAACAAATTGAGGCTGCAGTGGTCTTCTGGTACAAGCAACACGCGGATATGCCCAAGTGCGAGGCCATGTTGGAATACCTACAAATCGCACAGGAACTGGAAATGTTCGGAGTTACCTATTTTTCAGTCAAAGACGAAATAGGAACCTTGATGTTGCTTGGTGTAGACGCGTTTGGTCTGAATGTTTATCCAGCAGATAATAGGTGAGACCATGGTAATTGTAATACGCAACAAACAATATATATATGTATATATATATATGTATGGAGTTCTTCCCGTTGTATTTGTGCTATCCCCTAAATTGCTGAATTCATGTCGGAATAAAGTAAGTAATCGTCTTCATTATATACGGTCACAAGGTATTTTAGTCCTTATTTCCCTACTGTCATGGCTATCTGACTTCGTCATAATCAGCGTAGCGCTTTTCATCCAGGAAGCAGTTGCGTACATTGTCACCCAGATTAGCCCATCTTAATATTTTCTGGTTCATGCACTTGTCCACTTGCACCGGATTAACCTGCGAGGGTGTTTGTCAACTTTTCATACGTGCACATCACGCATAAAAGCTGTGCAATCGTGGGTCAAACTGCATTCCAGGTACTCACCATGCGATTGTCTGGGTGAAAAATCCAGACCAGGCACGAACTAGCACGGTTACCTTCGGGTATCAAGCTTTGTCGTGTCGTGCGCCTAAGTAGGTACCTACGGCAGTTTCTCGTTACCATTGTCGGCACAGCCGGATGTACCTACGGTATGTCGTCGTTTATCAGTCCAGATCAAACTTTTAGCGCCGGCTTGCAGATTTTGATTCAAAGACTTTGTTCATCTTCACCTACCGTCTTTCCTCATTGTAAGATTGTATTTCTCAACTCATAGTATTTGGCTGTTGCTAGTTGCTGTTACTTTCCATAAAAAGCGCCGCTTCCAGTATGAATATACATTACTGAGTACCGGGGTTCTTGAATCCAAGATTTACTTCCTTCGCAACAAACTCGGAAGACATCTTTCTCATGCATTTTCACTATTGTTATTATACTCTATTAAATTAAACTTATCTAATAGCCGTTTAAATAGAAACAGGTTCCGTAGGTCTCGTTGTGAAGCTTTTTGCTGAATACTTCAACAAGCACAACTAAGTTGATGCATTGTACATTTGTGTCAGTCATTTTGTTTTCAAGTGACACGGTTTCCGACAGCAACCGTGACTCAACTGCCCAGAAAGAACAGTATGAGGCCAGCCATCTAAATAAATTAACGTTACTCCGCCCAACATCACAGTCTCTAACATCAAATGGCACTTACGATTTTTCAACCCAACCTGATCTACCAACATTCTAACTTACTGCAAATCGTACGTAACTGTCCCAAGCAATGCAGCTGAATCGCTAATCCAACAGGTTTGTGAAAGTCATATATGACATGGATTCAAATGTCTAACTTTTATGTACATTGTTTGTTGAATCAACGGTTAGTTTCTGTCTACATTATGGTTGGTTAGCAATATCCTTGCTTAGGCTCTCCACCACTAATACTTAGAATTCCACACATCCTCAATGTTATGGCTACTATAATTCATCATCTATCGCCTGCACATGCGTTTTACATTAAAACTTTTTTGTGCTTTATGCAACCAACTAAACTACCTAAAATGGCAGGTGATGAACGACGATTTATGGCAGGCAACTGGCGATTGCTTGACAAATCCCGTTGGATGACAGGAGTGAGGATTATAAAACCAGGGAAATTCTGGTTTTAAGTGGCTGAGCAAGTCATTCACATGAACACTAATTCGGATTTCCTCACCCCTAATTTACATAGGGGTTTGATGAGCACATAGTTTAGTACGCGTTGTTTCGTACTCTGAGTGAAGCGGACTATATCATCAAATGCAAAGTAGGTAGCGTGTCATGCATACATCTTTTGCAAAGTGTGGATACGGGGGCAAAAATGGTGTGAGTTAAATGAACATTCTATGTTTAGGATATCCGAAGGGCGAAAAAAGTTTTGTCCTCAAACAAGTCGAGTGTACTTCGTGGCAAGTTTGAGCTGGAGACCTCTCAGGTTAGTGTCGTGGATGAGTTGTTGGATTCCGCCAGAGGCAAGCTTAGGGTTCATTAATATTACGAGAATAATGATGAAGGCTCTTCGAACACGCCAATGTTCACCAGTGCAAGTTAACGACTTGCAGTCTGCGTTGGTAGAAGTGAAACATACTCCTAACGAATTTGATTGCTCTACGTTGTGGAGTTTCAAATGAATCAACCTCGGGTTTAAAGCAGGGACATCAGGCTTGGATTTCGTTTCCACCTGGGGCCTCACATAGGCGTTTAGCATCCGCAAAAAGATGGCTAGCATAAATTTTCCGAAAGCGTTTCGTAAGAGGCCAAGGTGCTGACTGGCTCTTTTCGATCTTTGTTTAGTCTGGTTCGAGTAGTCGAAGTCAGCCTGCATGATTACCCCTAGGTCGGTTTCCTGGGCAGCACGTTATAACTGTTGGTCCCCACCTCGATATTTATAAATAGGCTGATGGTGTATGCTCATGATTTTACATTTCGTCACATTGAACTGAATGCAGTTTTCTGACGACTACGTATAGACCCCATCGAGATAAATCTACACTATCATGTGAGGTAATTGGTTGAAACCTGCAACTTCAGTCACTTAATAAGCTGCGAAGTACCGAAGAGCGGCGTCAATGTTCACTCCCATCGACCCGATTATTTCTGTCTACGGTTTGTTGGGGAATACTCCTAAGTCCGGCCGTATTCGCGTGCTCAACGCCGCAGTCACAATGCACTCAGTAGCTTGTTATCTGCCCTCCGTGACACCACGATTTTTGACCAACTTGGACAATAACAAGAGCGCGTAATCTCGACTTGCATGCCAAATACAACGAAAAGACGCTTTTGAATCTTTAAGCTGATTAAGGTGTGTGTGAAGAATGGATATCAGTTAGTGCTCCGGTTTCTCATATACCTCATCCTGCGGGTAAGTATTACGCCCGAAGAAGTTGGATTTAGTTAATCGGAAAACCCATGAAAATTTGTGGATCGCATTGTGATTTTATATGGGAAAAGTGAACAATGTATGTAAGAAAAACAAGTAACTAAATCTGCGGTCCTATTCTTTCAACCTACTTACCCTACCAAACAAAAGGTTATTAACGGCTTAAGCACATACGTAAGGCAGCAGAAAACTAAATGCCCTTTCCTGAACCTAACACTGCGGGCGACATTGTTTTGCTATAATTTCTAGGATAATTTGGTTTTCATTACCCCGAAAGATACAGAGCAAATAAGCCAAAACGCTAGTCGAAGTGCGAGATTTGTAAGTTAAACTAGCACTTTCAGACTGCGTTCAAATATTGCGTTTAGAGATCGTTTTACCTATGAGCAGCTTGAGATTACTGCTCAGTATAATAAAAAGTTTCGATTCATTTTTGTGAAAGGATATTCTCTTCTGCTGGTACCTAGTTGGATGTAGCTGACAGAACCTCAAGCAGTGACTTCTTAGGCAACAGATAACAAACTTGTTTGGTGGAGGCGAGAGGATCTGTGTGCCCCACTAGCAGTAGACTTTTATTCACGGACTGTATTAGCCCTATATCGTTTCTTGTGAATGAATGCAGACAGTTCGAAACAAATACAGTACTAATTCCTGAAGTTGTGCGAAACGCATGCAGTGTCATCTCTTCTAATACGCCACCTGAACGTGTCTACCAGGGCTAAATTTAATTTTCCCATTGCAGCGAATGAACAGGTTCAGTTTCTCTTCTTTGCCTGTGTCAACTGTACACTAGACTCATTTAAGATTCAACAGCACCCAATATGAAGTTAACTTTCATCACCGGAGTCATTCTTGCTAATTCCTACACCAACTCGATGTAGACTTTGACGACGCATGTATTGGTAAAACCAATGTGAGTGGTGGCATTGTAGTCCAGTATACGCAAGAAGTCAACTGCCCTTACCCCACTTCGCATTCGACGCGGACTAGAAAATCCAGTCGATCTGCCATTTAGTAGACTTTTCAAATGTAACCTCTATACAAGTAACTTGCATACGCTTGTGATACAAAGAGGATAATTCATTATATTTATCTAATTAAGTGATTCATTAATGGCACCAATTAACCGACATATTACTGGTAGTATGAAATGCATCTGCTCATCCACAACTGTGCTGTTATGATGGTTAAGTGACTGTTCCATTGTCTCAGCTAAAGCCTGCGGAATATATTGGCAAGAAAGTCCCCATCGTGTGTGCTATCTCGAGCCAGTCACAGAGCCTGGAACTGGGAAAAATCTATCTATATCATTTAAAGGTGACATGGATTATCTTGATCCCCAGACAAAGCTAAGTGATAGAAAGTAATTGAACGTGTTTCGCGTAATCAGGAAGTCAGATAAAAATACATGGCAGGTGGGCTTGATCATTGCGCTAGATGGAAAAACAACATGGGCCAAGGATGGTTGGGTCCGAAAACCCCGTGCTACAGTGAGAAGACGAAGTGACAAATGAAGTTTCACTAGTGATTCCCGGTTCACTCAGCTTAGTGAACTAATTTAGAGTCTAGGTAGCCAACATTTGTTGCAGTACTCTGCAAGCAATGTGATATTACAACCATTGTTTAGAACTTTCGTTTTGCCATCTGTTGTCAATCAGCTTATCAGTCAATTTTAAATGGGCTTCTATGGGTTTCGCAAACCAATATGGGCATATTTTAAGCGTGTACACTATAACTGCGAATATACTGAAGCACAGCATACTAAAATTTATACGTTGACAAAGAAAACAATGACTAAATATACTTTCAGTTTGGTGGAATATCATGCAACTTTTGTGCCATTATCGCTGGGTAGACTAGTAAATGCGGCGAAACGTCCTAATGGGAATCACGTTACGATAAGTTGCGTGGAGATAAATCTTAGCACTCTGACGGCGTAGAATAGGTAGCAAACTCGCTGGCAAGGTCAGTAGTTATTCAGTGAAAGTGATAGCATAGGATGCCGGGAGAAAAATTGGTACAGACACCGAAAAAATTACATGGGATAATATCAACGCAGGGCTATTTTCTTTAATCCATAGAATGAAAAAAGTAGTGGCCGCACAATTGGTATGTGATCCTCTTGATGGAGTCAGATAACAGGTTAAACGAATGAGGTATAGTAGTAGCATGTAGAGACACAAAAACCACACATGGTAGACAGAACTTAGCACCCCAGGGTGTAAAATGATTGTCTTCTAACGCTTTAAACGTTTCACGTATATTGAACCAGAATAAATTTTGACACAAAAAGTCACTACAATACTTTGCATTGAGTAAGAGGCATGTTTTTTCGTCTAGAAACAAGGGATTGGCGTATACTGGAGCGGGGAAAAACTATTAGGTCACAACACTCTGAGGAGTACAAGGAAGGAACCGTAAGTACACTTAGCATACGGTTGCCCGTGTCCTCGTTACAGATTCGTAGATTCGTCCATAGTTGGGGTATATGCCCTGAAATAACCTCACCAACACATTTATATATTAAGCACGAAGTTCTAGGAACAAATTCGGTGTATTCGTAGAATGGACAGGGAGATCGGATGACTGTTTTCTAAACGCCACAACCAGCCTAGGGTAACGAACTGTGAAGGGTGCGTGTGAATTAGCCGCGCATGAGTTTGCATACGTCTGGGGAACACTATTATCCGACTAAATTTTAGACGGTAGCTGTCTGTAGAGATTCCTGAATGGAATGTGAAATATCTGGTTACCCCTGCAATTGGACACAATCACAGGACCTGAGACGGCATCAAGTGTTAAGCCCTCTGGCCTATAGGTAAACTGATAGATATCATAAACCTGAGTCCTAGTGACAGTCCGAGGGATGAATAGCTGTCCAAGGTACTTCAGTAGAATAGATGTGCACACAATCGGATGACAATTCAACGGTTTCTTCTTAGGCTCTGCTCTCGAGCTTACTGCTTTCCAGATGCTGACAGTCGTTAAGAATCGGTTAACAATTTGCGTCACTGGTGAGTATAAGACGTGCCCGCAATTTTCAGATCAACCGGTGTTTGAGCACTAGGTCAATAGCTCCGCTTGATTTTCGTTCTTGGATTTTACTGTGAGCGCTTGGGCGTAACCGAATAAGATAGTAGCTCCTCAGTTGATAAAAACAGATAGTGGAATTTTGTAGGACCATGAGGAGCGGAACTCTGCGTCGAGTTTGTCCACATCCACAGCACCGAGCGGGCTGTATGATTGTTTGCCAGTTGTTTCAATTGCATACGGGGGCATGGCCATTTCGAATGCCGAAACAAGTCCCAAGCAATAAGAAGTTTAATTCTTTGATCTTTGATTTATTTTCATAGTCGATTGATATGGGTACTTGGGTGCCATGTTCATGGTCTTTGTCCGTTGTATTTACTTTTGTAGTGTCAGTGCAAATCTACTAGTCCGAAACTAGAGGATCTCAACAGGGCAACCTACATCAAACAGAACTCAAGATGTGTACGATTTCAGGAACTGGAAAATTTCCATTTCATTATCAAGAACAAAAGACCGAAGGTGAATAATTGTTTTCGATGTTTCATCATCAGACCCGTACAATCACTTGGGTGAAATAGCAATGGGTGTAAAAGTGGCTTCGATCAGTTCAACCGATCACGTGCCGACCAAGGGCATGAATCAGTAACAAAGGACAAACTCGGACACATGTGTAGTTGCCCAACTACAGTTGCCCCCAGAAGGATCCGTTTTGTCTGGCCAAGGCAGCTTAACAGCTTCGATCAGCTACTTTTGTGCACACAAAAGCGGTTGATACAACCGCATGCTGATCGCCTCGGCAGTAGCAAGGGTGCGGAGGCGCCGGCCATTCGACTGGAGTGGAGGGACTATGTATAGTATCCGTAATGCATGGATTGGGTTAATGACATTCCCACTATCAACAAGCTGAGCCATAACAGAGCTAGTTATAGCCCCAGTACCGTCTCGACGCAACCAGCGTGATAGGTGCTCCTTGATGCATTCGGTTGTATCAACCGCTTTTGTGTGCGCAAAAGTAGCTGATCGAAGCTGTTAAGCTGCCTTGGCCAGACAAAACGGATCCTTCTGGGGGCAACTGTAGTTGGGCAACTACACATTTGTCCGAGTTTGTCCTTTGTTACTGATTCATGCCCTTGGTCGGCACGTGACCAGTTGAACTGATCGAAGCCACTTTTACGCCCATTGCTATTTCACCCAAGTGATTGTACGGGTCTGATGATGAAACATCGAAAACAATTGTTTACTTTCGGTCTTTTGTTCTTGATAAAATGTGCACATTGAACTGGCGGACCTCAGTCCGTAAAAAGGAAACATCAGTTGAACAAGGGCTTAATTCAATGTTTGCAGCGTATTCTGTTGAACATTCTCACTATCTGTCCTGAATGATCCTGTTAACCGTGCAACATTACTGACATTCCTGTACATCTGTATAATACGGTGTTGCGAAGTATCGAGGGCAGCATACCTTTGTATTGAAAACACTATGTCTGTTAAGAAGCATAAAGTATAGCGTACATTGAGTCCGCATGTGAAATCCATTGAATCGGCTGACGCAAACTGACAATCAAAATTGTGACACTTCCACCGAAGTAACCTGCAACAGTACTACTTGAGTATGACAAAGTTGGTTGTAACACCGATGCAAAATGATCGGTAGAATATTCCAACCTAACCGTTACACCCGGTTGCAGACTGTGAATATATGAAACATTTCGGACACAATACAGGTAATGATGAAATTTCTTGAACCAAATACTCCCAGTTCAGTTATAAAATCACAATTAAATGAGTGCGGCGTTACTAATCCTTTTAGACTAAACACTCATCGGACCCAAGCCTTTACATGTCAGAAAGTGTGTGTTGTTAGCGTCAAGTCGCGCTAGAAAATTGATTTCTGTGTTTTACGGTTTCGTCCTAGCTGCTTGCAAGTCAGAGAGCCTATCTACTATCGAGAAAAGCATAACACGATCGGTTGTTTAAACAGTCAAGTCGATAGCTTAGGGTTAGGTTATAGATGGTAGGTAACGTGAAAAATAGTAAATCAGTACATTGCTTTGGTCTTGATTTTATTGGGCAAATTAGTTGACATGTCAGCACATGAGAGCTTATTGGTGTTCAATAAGCAGACTGTTGTGAAACTGACTTCCTCAAGTCTTCTTTAATGTAGCTGATGATATCTTCCCAGCGGTCTGCGATTTCCTTGGGTGGTCAGACCTATGCAGTAATAGTTTCTCGCACATCGAGCAATAAACGATTTATTTATTTATCAAATCGAATTTAATGACCGCAGCTTCGGTACTAGAAAACAAGCACATTTCTAGCCACTCCGCTGTACCTGTATTTATGTACTCGCTTCCTTGGAAAATGATTGTGCCATCAGTAATTCTGTCTAGAGACGATCGTACACAGCTGAACAAGATAACTGTAACTTGTGTCTTGTTAACAGCGTTTAAGAAAGACGTGTCAGCTGGAATGATGCTTGCACCTCCTCTCTAACATTTCATTGATAATTTTTAAATTTTCTAAGTAGAGAAGTTGCAGTCCTCCTTTGCTTACTCCCCATAATCTCTTTGAAATGAGACTCCGGATTTGTAGCCGCATTCAACAAGTGGTGGCTTACAAGTTGACAGAGGTTCAGCCCCTAAATTTTTAATCTTAGCTAGATGTTCTACGCTTTTCATTATGAACTTAGTCTATGGAGCTACTGTGCTAACCCATGCATCTCACATTTTCGTGGACTGAACCGGTTGGTTATCAGAGCTATTATGAATGATAAACTCTTCTCAACTCCATCTGAGATTCTGAATAACCAAGTGCTGTCAGCTCCTCTGTCGATAACTACGGTGTGCAGACTCGTTTTGTGTAAGATAATCCTTTGACAATTATAAGTTTGTAAGCATGAATGATGTATGATAAAAGTCAGGCTGATCCGTTCACCTTGGTGATTATTAGGAGGTTTTGGAGTTATCTATTCAGACATAACAAGAGAACACAAGTAGTCTGACAATGCAAAAACATGAATTTCCACTCAGCATCACTTGTGAAAACTTTACCTTAATATTACTTCCATCCCACATGTGTGCAGATTGACCCCAACTCTAGGATTTCCATGGAGTGAAGTTTCCAGTGTGTCCTTCAAGAAGCTGAAATTCGTAATCAGACCTATGAACAAAATCGGCCGAGTGAGTGTTCATACCTATATACCACGTTCACTTTACATTTGGACATTTTACAAACTAATTTGGACATTTTGCAACACAAATTGGACTGAATGGAAAAAACCCATTGATTGATCAGAAGTCTGTGTAAGCGAACATAGGTTTTCGGTAATTCTTCATCAGGCTTGTACAAATCTGGCAGATAATACGAAATTATTGAAAATGAGTGGGGAGCGAGACAAAACAAAGCAGATTGAAAATCAACTGTGCGTCTGTCTCAGAAAGCTTAAGAATGGTGGTTATATCAGCGAATCGGTCCATGAAAATCTACGCCCCGTGGGCACGGTTATTCCAAGGCTTTACGGCCTTCCCCAAACCCACAAGCCTATCTGTCCTCTTCGCCCGGTTTTGGACATGAGAAACTCTCCATACCACTCGATCGCTGGTTGGCTGGTGGAACTTCTTGAGCCTGTACGTAGACGGGTCGCTGTACATACCCTAAAGGACACTTTACGTTTGTAGATGCCGTGCGTGATGTCAAAATCAAGAACCAAACTATGTGCTCTCTAGATGTCACCTCACTGTTCACGAATGTGCCTTTATTTGAAACGATTGAGTTCATTTGCAACTTTGTTGACGAGAACCATCTTAATATTGGCATACCAACCCTGGCACTGAAAGAATTAGTGCTAAGGTGCACGTTTAATGTTCAGTTCCTATTCAACAGGGATATATACCGACAGCGCGATGGAGTTGCAATGGGTTCCCCGCTAGGACCATTCCTCGCTGATGTTTTCATGGGTATGTTGGAACAGGGTAAATTAAAAGCGGTCATCAGCAGCCTCACGTTATATCACCGTTACGTAGATGACATCTTCGTCCTACTTGACACCTCCGGTAACATCGAGAAGCTCACCAGCGTATTTAACCAAGCTCACAAGGCTATACAATTCACCTACGAGGTAGAAGAAAACGGCGCTTTCCATTTTCTCGATGTAGCTCTACAAAGACTTGACGGTGCGATAAAACGTAGCGTTTTCCGAAAGTGCACTTGGAATGGACAGTACACAAACTTTCATAGCTTTGTGCCGCTTCGGATTAAGAGAAACTTGGTCCTCAATCTGGTGAACCGGGCCGAAAGAATCTGCTCGAAGGATACTCTTTTCGAAGAGTTGCAACTAATACGAGCGACACTTAAAGAGAATGGCTACCCAGAGAATTTTATTAATGCGAATATGGGGTGAAACAAGGAAGCACCTATGGTCCTGATGGCGGAACGGAAACCTATCTTCCTACAACTGCCTTACAAAGAGGAAATAGTATCCGAGAATCTATCCCGCCGTCTCACGTCCACACTCAGGAATACCTTCCCAGCGGCGAGGTTGCAAATCCGTTTCACCAGCAGCCCAATGGTGAGACTAAACCTCAAGGATAAGCTGCCTGTCCACACCAAATCAATGTGTGTATACTCATTTACCTGTTCCTCTGGGGCAGGATACGTTGGTCGTACGACAAGACGCTTATCCGAAAGGGTGAAGGAACCCCATCCGGCCTGGCTCGGAAATGGAGGCCGAAAGGTCACCAACTCTGCCATCGCCACGCATCTTGCGGATACGGGTCACGCCACCAAGTCGGCTGACTCGTTCAAAGTACAAGAACACAACGTTGCGAAGAGTACTCTTTTCGATAAATCTCCTCAGGCATTTACAATTATAAAATGGAAAGCACAAAGCAAACGGCTGATGAAGCCAAAGTGGTGGGAATAGTGGAATCACGACAAACAGAAACTCAACAGTACTGATCAATAAAATCCGTTAACTACACATGTGACAAAGCACGTGTTAGTTGATCGGTGGGATGCCAAGTGCATCATCCGACCACTGTAGGCGTCTGGAGTGGCAAAAATTAGCAAGCTGACTACGGCCAGGGTAGAAGAAGCCCTTGCAGCAAGGCCTTCTGCTTACATAATTCCGGTTGCAATATTCTAATGGCAATCGCTTCGGCAGTCCGTAAGCTTTGCTTTCTAAGCCCTTTAGTGTACCGCGGTTTTACTACATAAAGTAATTGGAAGGCATCAGCGGTCCTAATTCGGTGTCCGCTTTCCACCAGATGCTCCAGGATGGAACTGTTGGGGCGACTGACGATGCCTTTCCGCAAAGCCGCTGGGCAGTGCTCCGCAATGCGTTTAAACAGACGCCTGGTTGTGTGTCCCACGTACCTCGCACCACAGGCGCAGGTAAACTGATATAAAATGTAAGATTGAGACTGTACCGGAAGTCTGTCTTTAATGCGTTGGGTTATAAAGGGGGCCGTTTCCGCAAGGACGTGTGGGCATGCGGCTGGGAAGGTTCTAGCCACTGCAGTGGAAATCCTTCTGTTCAATAGATCAAAGGCAACATCGCCTTTAAAGGGAACTGACAGAAACACGTCCTTCTTAGGGACAGTAGTAATCACTTCAGGGCTATCGCGGATCACTGAATACTTTTTGATGAATGGGGTCGGATAACCGTTATCTTGCAGCGTTTTGAGAATACGGATCTTTTCGGCCTCCAGCGTCTCTTGGCTGCAAATTTTCGTAGCACGAAAATACAAGCAGCGGACGAGATTACGTTTGTACCTCAAGGGTACAAAGCTCAGAAAATGTGTATATTGGCCTACCCAAGTGGCCTTCCGGAATATACTTCTTTCCAATGGACCATCATTTCTTCGGCTTAGCAACACATCCAAGAAGGCTAGCTTACCATCTCTTTCGGTTTCGATAGTAAACTTCGACGATGGATGAACACAGTTTAACTGGTTTAACAGGTTGGAAACATTGGTGTTTGAATCGCAGATTATAAACGTATCATCCATATAACGACAATAGAAATCAAACGAAGCGATGATGGGTCGTATAGCTTCACGTTCAATCATAGCGAGGAAAATATCAGCAAGGAGTGGTCCTAGGGGGGACCCCATTGCGACACCGTCAATCTGTCTGTAGTAGACTCCATTAAATAAAAATTGTCTGTTGAAGGTACACTGTAAAATTAATTCCTTCAGTTTCCTCATCGGAATACCCACATCTATGTTCTTTTCATTCATGTAATCACACATAAAATTGACAGTTTCCATCAATGGAACATTCGTAAAAAGTGACTCAACGTCCAGAGAGAGCATCAATTTGTCATTTACTTTCATGCATTCTACTCGTTTCACAAATTCAAGTGTGTCTTTCACGGTGTATGTGCATAACTCCTTGCGTACTGGTTCGAGCAAACCCGCAAGCCATTTCGTTCAAAGTAATCTATCAGGCCCCAGAAAATCGATCAAGGTATTTCCGTAAGCGGATATTAGACGCCGCAGAAGCCATCGCCATTCGGCTGTACGAACCAGCACTGTGCACGCAGAAACGGTTCACTCACGCGTTGAGCCTACCTTGGCCAGGACGGACTGCAGTTGACCTGTACGCACGTACGAATACAACTGTAACCTAACCGAAGGTGTGTCACAGTGCACTAAGTTCAATTTGGTTGACTGACGACCCGTTGGGTCTGTATACTAAAAGTTTGCATTTCATGTAATTGTACAAGCCTGATGAAGAATTACCGAAAACATATGTTCGCTTACACAAATTGGACTGTTTTCTACAGACTTTGGACGTTCGGAAATACACTTTGGACATTTCGCAAAACAACCTGGACTTTTTGCAATCCAGTGTGGACACATTGGATTTTAAGCAGAAAATTAGCAATTCACTTGCAAAAAATGAGTAAGACGACTAGACGATGTTCAGGCTACATCGCAGTCATGTTAATGCAACCGCATTGCGTAACTAGCCGGTGCCACTGCAGACTCTTCTCTTAGTCGTGTACCTCGGTCGCCTCGAGCGAAGTAGGTGACCGTGTATCCCCCTATCTCCCCATCTGTCTCGTAGGTTATTTGCTTTTGACTTCACACAGGGACCTGTGTAGCTATGTGACTATTGGAAAGTCCGACTTCCAAATAGCATTGTCTACCAGAACTTAAACATATGTTACCTAGCATTGGAGGGTCGTTGTAAAGCATTCGTTTTGAGAATGGGGTACGATGCGCCATCTCAATGGGGACCGCAATTCCCACTGAACTTGGTCAATTCCATCACTGGGACTGTAGACGTTAGAGAACATGGGCGGCGATCCTGTTGTCCCCTGTCACTCTATGGGCCTTCGCGTACTTTGTGTGAACCAAGCTATTCAACTGCTTGATTAATGGATAAGTGCATGATACCATGACTCCATCAAACACAGCATAACTTTATTGGCCTACTGCTGAAAGTCGTTATCGAAGTAAATGGAGTAAAACGACTGGACTTTGTTCAGTCCACATTGTGCTCGCACGAATGCAACGGGACTGTGAAGCAGTGGCAATTGTGTAATCCCTCCTCTCCATCATGTGTTTTGTTAACCTGGACCATAGCAGACGACCCAGTTGTCCCGTCTTGCACTATGTGCTTTCGAGTATTTCTTGTGGGTGTGTGGGTGTAGCTATGAGGTGCAATCACTGGAACACTGTTGGCTATTATGAACCCACCTAAACCAGACTAGCTTCATTGATTTTTACCTGTAGCCTGTTATCAATTCAGGAGAGTAAGGGGACTGCACGATATTCCGGCTACATTGCGCTTACGCGAATGCAACGTAACTATATAAGCTGTGAACGATTGTGTAATCCCTCATCTTGTCATGGGCGTCAATTGTCTCAATCAGAACCGGTGACCAAGTTGTCCGTTGTCACTCTATGGGCCTTTGTGTACCTTATTTGGGTGGGCGGGAGAACCCATTCAGCTGCTCGAATATTAGAACAGTGTAGGATTTGATAACTCAACCAAAACTCGCATAATTTTGCTAGGCTAAAGTCGCAGTTTGTTATCAAGGTAGGGGAGTAAGATGACTGGATGATGTTCCCGCCACAGGTTGGTCATGCGAATGCAACAGGACTGTGCAAGCAGTGAGCAATGGTGCAAGCCCTCCACTTGATCACGGGTGTCAGTTATTTTCATCAGAACCGGTGACGCAGTTGTCACCTGTCGCACTATGAGCGTTCGCATATATTATGTGGGTGTGTGGGAGAACCTATTCAGCTGCTCAATTATTGGATTAGTGCAGAGTATCATGATTCCATCAAACATAGCTTTATTTTTTGCTGCACGAAACGACCAAAATAAGCAAAGAGCGATTAGAGACCGCGTCTTCGAAGCCTAGGCGGTACAAGCGATATTCTTTGTCACAGAAAAGTCCAATTTGTTTTCAGAAGGTCCAAAGTGGTTTGCATTATGTCCAGCGTGGGTTGCAAAATGTCTAAGTTAAAGTGAAAATGATATATATATATATCGCTATGCTAGTTGATCTTTCTCATCGGTTCTATTCTCAGACTCACTGCTATTACTCGGAAAGCGTCAAGAATAATCAACTTTTGTTAAGTCTCTGTGTGGGTACGCACGAATTGTACATTCGTCGACGCAAGCAAGAGACGGTTGGGATGCGCCACCTCAGGGCTCAAGCCAACGCAGAGAAGGCAGTGAAGATAGGGGAACGGTAAGTTACACAATAAACTTGGAGTACATGCGAACTACTCCCCCCGCTACTTTACGCCAAGTCAGCTACGCCTATATCTATTTGCCCTCTTCAGTCTGCATCGGTTCCCTCATAGTTGCAGTTAATTTTCTGAGTTAAAACTTTCTATAACGTTATGAGCTATTACTCGCAAATTTCTTTCATGTGTGCTGGACATATCCTTGGCCTAAATGCTCACCTCGTCAGTGAAAACCGAATGTCGATACACATTTCCCTCTGCTGGTATGCATTGACCAGTCCTCGTAACTAAACCTAAATGCGCCGCCAGTCCATTATGAGGTAATAGCATGTCTGAAAGCGTAACGGGTTCTTTCTGGTAATTAGTCACCCACAGTATCAAGGATCGAAATCGCAACATCAACAAACACCACGAAACCTGTGTAAGCAATTATTCGGATATGCAATATGTGAATTACCTTCGACTTCTCCGTAGGCCGGATGCACACGGAACAGCGGATAAGCAACCAGGTGGTTTCCGACCCACTTACATTTCGTCCCAGAAGACTTTGCCTTTTTACTCTGTTACTCGGGGATTAAGGGTCACGTGTACGGATGAGAGAAAAGCGCACTAATTTGCCAACTGTCCAATAGTAGAGGTTGGTCCATCTCAAAATGTCCCTCACCCGGTCACATGGGTGTGAACGACCAGAGTGCTGACCGTATGCCTGCATATTGATGCAGGTGTACTTGCCAGTCTCATCCATTGTGAAAACGCTAGATGGGCCCGAATAGTTGAGTTGAAGTCAAGCAGCAGGGAAAGTTCGCAGGTCGGTAAATACCGTGTTTCGGGCTGGTTGGAACGAATGCAGGCGTACAATTCAAGACAGCAGTGTATCATTACCGGGCTACTGTGGTATAAATGTGAGTACGCTTGGAGAGGTCTGACTGACCTGAGCAAGGAGAGTTGAATAGGTGCTAATTGTTATCCCAGCTGGTGACAAAAGAGTTATTGGCAAAGCTGTTGTAGACTGAAAGTTAGCTTCCAATAACGCGCCTTAACAAAATAGGAATTCTTTACCATTAGGCTTCGCACATATGAAATGCAACGTTTTGAGAAAGGAGTCTGGAAAAGCCATGTCACCTAAAGACTACTCGCTGCCGCATAGCCAATTCTCCCGTCACAGGTTTGAGGGTCCATTCCAACATATTCACTAATGATGCAATATTCCATTAGCATAGAAATGAGAAGTTGCATTTCTAGGCAATATCCAATTCTTGCGGATACTGAGATTTACGTATTCCACAAAGCGCGAAGCTCACTGGCTCAAAAACTGCCTGACAAAACGTGGGACCACAGTACACGCATCATCAGTGAATATGTTGGAGTGAACACACAGGTGCGTCAGTGGAGACCATTTTCGGTCCTCTCACGGTCACTGAAACAACTTGGGCAGTGTAACGCCACCTGTTTCCTGCAATTGCGATCAAGTCTGTGACGGGGGAATTGGGTATGCGGCAGCGAGTAGTCTTTAGGTGACATGGCTTTTCCAGACTCCTTTCTCAAAACGTTACATTTCATATGTGCGAAGCCTAATGGTAAAGAATTCCTATTTTGTTAAGGCGCGTTATTGGAAGCTAACTTTCAGTCTACAACAGCTTTGCCAATAACTCTTTTGTCACCAGCTGGGATAACAATTAGCACCTATTCAACTCTCCTTGCTCAGGTCAGTCAGACCTCTCCAAGCGTACTCACATTTATACCACAGTAGCCCGGTAATGATACACTGCTGTCTTGAATTGTACGCCTGCATTCGTTCCAACCAGCCCGAAACACGGTATTTACCGATCTGCGAACTTTCCCTGCTGCTTGACTTCAACTCAACTATTCGGGCCCATCTAGCGTTTTCACAATGGATGAGACTGGCAAGTACACCTGCATCAATATGCAGGCATACGGTCAGCACTCTGGTCGTTCACACCCATGTGACCGGGTGAGGGACATTTTGGGATGGACCAGCATATACTATTGGACAGTTGGCAAATTGGTGCGCTCTCATAGCACCCGCAGGCTTTACTCTTAGTCCCCGAGTAAGAGAGTAAAAAGGACAATGCTTCTTGGACTAACAGTATTTGCTCGATGCTTCATCCTATAGGTTAACCGGTTTCAACCATTGGTACCTCTTCTCTTCTTGTGTGCTGACGCAGGTGCTGCTCACGTGAGCATTTGGGCCCCAAGCTTTGGTCGAATTCTGACTGAGTATTGGGTGTTGTCCGCCCGAAAACACTGCACAACCACGACGCGTTTTGACGTCATTTCATCTCATTAGGTGGAGATGTCAGGCCTCGAATCTACGATCATTGGAGTAGTGGCCGAAACCTCTACGTCTTTGGCTTTCGAGTCACGACGCGCAACGCTTGGTACATTGGTGAATGACTGAATAGGGGGTCGATTTTGGACTACACGTTGTGTGATGGGATAGCTACGCGCAATCTCAGCGTAGACTGCGATTCACATTGAAGTGGACCGGTGATTGTTTTCGAGTTGTGTGTTTGTGCTACCGAGAAAGCCGGTAGGCGATCGCAATGACCGCATTCCCCTAATTGGGTTTGTGTTTTTCTATTTAGATACCACTATTATTTCTGCCAAATAAAACTATTATTAATGTTTATGCACAGTGACTAGTGAGAGAAGTGCACTAGAGATTTTAAGAGAACTTACAGCTGTCAATTAGAACGTGTCTAGAAACGTGAACGAATGTTATGTTTGTGATGATTTCATTATCCAGAAGTCCACAAAAGATCCCAGCATGCTAATCCAAGTGTAGACAATGACATTCTTCAAGATGACAGTTGTGACGGCGAAAGCCATGAAAGTGCATCGGTCGTTACAGCACCTTCCGGCGAATTTCACGTATCAAAACATAGTACACCACTGACTCCAGTAGAGTTCCAAAGAACTACTGTTGATAACATGGCAGCACATAGGGTTTTAAGGCCACGGATTACAAGATCGTGACCAACTGCCTAATCTGCGAAACAGTAAATATTGTCAGGTCTCAAGTGTCTTTGACATAATGTTTGCGTCCCAGATGTTGAAAAATAGGCGAGGATGTACTGAATCTGAGGTCAAGAGTATTAGGTGTCCATTGTCGGTGCACCAGATGTGGAACGTAAGTGTTTCTGAGCTGCGTACCTTCGCTGGGCAAGTTTACACAAAAAGCTTCATGAGCTTGAAGAACAACCGTCGCATATGTTGTGCTGCAACAGATAAACCTTGCTTGTTTTCAGGGAAACAAGCGACAAGAACAGATTCAAAAAGTAGAAGTTCCTTTGTTTCGACATGGGAAGTACCAAATGTGAATGGCTGCAGGTTGACAAGATTGCTTTGATATTTGTATTCTGGAATGCACTTATTCGCATCGCAGTACCGTGCTTTGTGGCAGCGCTGAACCTCACCATCGATGAGTAATTGTTTCACATCGAAACCCACTGTTGTTTTCTTCAGTGCATAGCCAAAAATTCGATAAGTTTAATATCAAGTTTAGAATTCTGACAGGAGTGGACAGCAGATGACTCGTGAACCTTATATCGCCCTACTTTGGGGAAAGTTACTATGTCACAAGTGACAACTTCACATGTGTAGCATTGGGACTAATTATCCCAAAGAAACATGCATGCCTATTGGAACCATTCGAGCTAATAGACGGAAAGTGTCAATGGGTTTGAAGCAACGCATTAGAGTATTGTTCAGTTCACCTATTAGGAAGAATAAAAATAAGAATACACATCCTACAACACCAATTCAAAGAACATGTGCTCCGTATGAAAAGATAGTTTGCAGCGCTTGTGAACAAATTATCACTTATTTCAAGTATAAATCTGAATAAGTAATTACAAATATTTTCCAATTTTTAGAACTTTGGGGGTTGATTTAGTACTTTTTCTGTAATAAATATTTAACAAGTTGTATTTGACATATGCAATCAACAGTTCAGAAAAAAGTTGGATTAAATATATACAGCAATACGGTCATTATGAACGGTCAGGGGGTTATAGATAGGTCGGCGGAACGGTCTTTCTGTTGTTAACAAACGCAACCGTCGTTTGTTAGAGTTCTCAAATCCATGATATACTGTCGCCCGTAAATCTGGCAACCAGCTTATGCCTATATCGGTCAATGGAATATTAGTATAATACTGATATAAAATGCTAGGCTTGGCAAGGGCTGTTGGATGGTTTGTGGTGATAACGTTAGTTTAGTCTGTTACACAGAAGTGAAAAAGGCATCTGTGGACTCACCATATTATCCACATTAACACAAAATATATCCGTCTATCCCGATTTCTTGTTGGTTGGTGAACACAATGTGTGTCTGCGTCTTGTTGTCACTCAATTAACAGAAAGCACATCAAGTAATGCAGGTACGATGAATTTGTTGTGCTTCGTAGCTTTGGTTAAGTTCTACTTGGACATTTATTTGCCTAAATTATCGAGTCTGGGTGCACTTAATGCCGGGTCCTCAAGGTGGTTAACCGTTACACGCCAACACCTCAATCATTAGCCGTAGGAGACTGATAAAAGTTACTGGGTGGTACAATGTCTTGTCAAAACTTTGTTGGACAAAGCATGGCTGCGGCATGATAGAGGACTACTGCTCAATCCCCCGTGTGTAGTTATATACACCAATTTGTTTTACTTTCACTTCAGTGATGTTCATGATAAAAGATATGAGTAGGCTCCAGACCAATTGTTGCTCCAGGTTACATGCTTCTCGCACATCTTTCTTCGGGTTCCTTCTGAGTGGGGGAGTGTGAGTGGTACCACTCAAGTCATTTATTGTTGCCGTGAATGTGCAGACTTGTGCGGAGCAAAATAACAGGCGAATTTGAAAACAGATGTAGCTCATCAACGTGAGATGGTACGACCAAGTAGCATATTATAGAGATAAACTGACCTGGTTAAACTATTGCGAGGTTAATTACGCTGCACACAACCTGAGGTCAGAAGGCGCGAGGACACAG